AAACTCTCCGCACACTCACTGGACCTGGGCTAGGACTGGGTCTGGGGGCTCCCGGAACACGGCAGAAAATCCTACTAGGCGGGCGGGGTGGGGGAGGCACTGGGGAGTGGTGGGGGCGGCCCGAGGGGCTGGGAGAGGGTCCGGCCCACGCTGCGCCTGGGCTGGGACTCGGGCTCCTTTTCAAGTGTACCCTAGACTGACATTACAAGTTTTATTTTTTCCTCAAGAGAGGATAAGATGTTTTCATGGACAATGAAAATCATAAGCATTCAATGTTTTTACCTCCCTACTTCTAAATGTAATATTACTTCCTGTCATGGTTTGGGGCTTTCAAGGGGGACAATACAATACAGACACATTTTTTATTTTTTAAAGAATTCAAAATAGTGACAGAAAAAAAACAGCACTAGAAATGATACAAATTTCACTAACTAAAGTAATAGGAATTCAACAATAGTTGCTGTGTTGCATGATGCTATATTCAAATTAGTTGTTCAGGTTACTATTTTGTTTCATTTTTTTCTTTAATACAGGACACATTTTATAAGATTATTTTATGATGAATCACCCAAAGAATCATAAAGAGTGCAGGACATCTGTCCACACCGAAAGACCAGAGATGCCAGCTGAAGGCCTGGATCTTAATATGCCGCATGAGTCCAGCAGAAGACCCAGAGCCCATAGCAATGCCTCTCTCAAGTCCAGTTGGAGGCTTAGAGCCTGACAATGTCCCACACAGAGACACACTTCATGGATCTGAACTGGAAAGGCCCAAAGGTCAGTGGTGGAAGCTGGAAAGTCTGTGCTGGTAGAATGAAGCTTGCAGGCTGAGGGGTCTGCACTGGAGCCAGGAAGTGGTGCTCAAGGTAGGAATTAGAGCTCTCCTGAGAAGTACCACAGCCATCCTCAGCAACAGTGAGGTCCTGAGCTCTTCTAGCAATGAGAACACTTCTCAGTAAGAAGTGGTCCCAGTTGCTAATTCTTTCAAGTATTACACGTGCGATTTGATTTTTGTTCATGAACTCTTTGCCTACCCCTATGTTTTCAAGAGTTCCTCCTACTTTCTTTTCCACAACATTTAGTGTTTCTGTTTTTATGTTTAGATCTTAAATCCTCTTTGACTTTGGCTTAGTGCATGGTGATAGAGCTGGGTCAAGTTTTAGTTTTTGGCATGTAGAGAGCCAGCTTTTCCAGCACCATTTGTTAAAGAGGCTATCTTTCTTCCAGTGTGTTTTGCCTCTTTGTCAAAGATCAGGTGGCTGAGTGTGTTCCTAGAGGCCTCTGCAGCTTCTAATGTATCCCATTGATTCTCAGGTAATTTTGTTGCCAATACGATGCTGATTTTATCATAGTAGTTTTGTACTATAATTTCAAGTTAGAAATTGTAATGCTTCCTGCCTTGTCTTTGTTGGCCAGGATTGCCTTTGCTATTCTAGGTCTTTTATGGTTCCAAATAAATTTTAGGAACAATTTCTTTAGGTCTGGTGGGTATGTTGGTGGTATTTGATAGAGATACCATTAAATCTGTAAAACAATTTGGGGAGTATGGCCATCTTCACAATGTTGGTTCTTCCTATCCAGGAGCAGGGAATATCTTTACATTTTCTGAAATGCTCTATGATCTCTTTTTTATGAGTACTGTAATTTTCCATGTAAAGATATTTAACTTCTTTAGTTAGATGAATTCCAAGGTATTCCATTTTCCATGTTGTTATTGTAAAAGATATTGTTTCTCTAATTTCTTTCTCAGTGTGTTTGTTATGTGTTTAGAGGAATGCTATTGACTTTTGGGTATTGACTTTGTATGCTGCTATGCTATTGAATTTCTATATCAATTTTAGTAGCTTCTTAGTGGAGCTTTTTGGGTCTTCCAAGTAAAGTATCATGTCATCTGCAAATAAAGATAATTAACTTCTTCTTTACCTATTTTTATTCCTTTTATTTCTCCCTCTTGTCTAACAGCTCTAGCCAATGATTCCAGAACTATATTGAATAGGAGTGGTGATAGAGGACATCCTTGTCTTGTGCCAGATCTAAGAGTAAAAGATTTCAATTTTTTCCCCATTTAGAATTATATTAGCCATTGGTTTGTCATAGATGTATTTTCTTAAATTGAAATAGAGGACTTTTATTGCAATTTTCTGTAGGATTTTGAACATGAATGAGTGTTGGACTTTGTCAAAAGCCTTTTCTGCATCAATTGAAATGATCATGTGGTTTTTAGATTTCGCTGTATTGATACATTGTATTACATTTATGGATTTTTGAATATTGAACCATCCTTGCATCCCTGGTATGAATCCTACCTGGTCATGGTGTATGATCTTCTTGATGATTTACTGTATTTTATTTGCTAGGATTTTATTGAGGATTTTGGCATCTATGTTCATGAGGGAGACTGTCCTGTAGTTTTCGTTCTTAGTTGTGTCTTTCTCTGGTTTTGCTATCAGTATAATACTTGCCTCCAGGAATGATTTTGGGAGAACTGTTTGCTTTTCAGTTTCATCGAAGAGTTTGAGGAGTATAGGCATTATATCTTCTGTAAATTTCTTGTAGAATTCAGCTGTGAATCCATCAGATGTGGACTTTTTTTTTGTCAGCAGGCTTTTTAATACGTTTTGTATTTCATTTGCTGTTATTGGGTTATTGAGAGTTGTTATATCTTTTTGATTCAGTTTTAGTAATTTGTACTTTTTGTAGGAATCTGTCCATTTCATCTGTGTCTTCTATTCTGTGAGAGTAAAGGTTTTCAAAGTAGCTATTGGTAGTCTTCTGAATTTTCACTGGTTCTGGGATGATTATACTCTTTTCATTCCTTATTGCTTATATTTAAATTTTTTCTTTCCTCTTTTTGATGAGGTTAGCTAGGGGTTTAACAATTTTATTTAATCTTTCAAAGAATCAGCTTTTTGATTCATTAATTCATTGAACTGTTTTCTTTGTCTCAGTTGAATTAATTTCTGCTCTAATCTTTATGATTTCTTTCCATCTTTGGGCTCTGGGTTTGGTTTTCTCTTCCTTTTCTAGATGTTGGACGTGCAGCATTAGGGTGTTTATGTGTTTTCCTAATGTGTGAGTTCACATCTATAAATTTCCCTCTGAGAATTCCTTTCATTGTGTCCTATAAATTCCAATAAGTTGTAGTTGAATTTTCATTGAATTTTAGATATGGTTGAATTTCTTGTTTAATTTCATTTGTGACCCATTGGTTGATGAGTAGGGTGTTTAATTTCCATGTATTTAGGGTTTTTTCTGCTTTCCTTTGTCGTTTATTTCCAGTTTCATTGCACTGTAGTTAGATAACCTGTATGGAACAATTTCTGTTTTTTTGCATATACTTAAGCATGACCTATGGACCAGTAGGTGGCCTATTTTAGAAAATTACCCAGGTGCAGCTGAATAAAATGTGTATTCAGCTGTGATTGGGTGGAACACTCTGTATCTGTCCAGCAAGTCCATTTGTTCCAAGCTCCGGTTCAGTTCTTCTACTTCTTTGCTAATGTTTTGTCTGGTTGATCTATCTTTTGAGGATAAGGGAGTGTTAAGGTCTCCTGTTAAGACTGTGGTATTGGATATTAGATTTTTCATGTCCATTAACATTTGTCTTAAATAGTTGAGTGGTCCTGCATTTGGTGCATAGATATCTATGTTTGTTACCACTTCCTCTTGAATTTTTCCCCTAACCAGTATATAATGGCCTTTTTAAAAATTTTGTTTGATCTTTGTTGGTTTGAAGTTGAGACTGTCTGAGAATAGGATTGCTACCCCTGCTTTTTTTCTGAGGTGCTGGGGCAGGTAGTATTGTTTTCCATCCTTTGACTTTCAGTCTTTATGAGTGAAGTGTGTTTTTTGTATACAGCATATTGTTCGATTTTGTTTCCTAATCTACTGTGCTGGTCTATTTCTCTTAATTGGTGAATTGAGTCCATTTACATTGATGGTTATAATTGAGATGTGTTGACTTATGATTGACATGTTATTTACCTGCTGTCATTTACTCCTTTTTGTCCTCTGTTCAATTGTTTGCTTTATTTAGTGGGTCCCTTCTGTTTTCATTGGTGGAGTTCTGATCGTTTTGGTCTCTCTCTAGAACATCTTTCAGTAGCTTGTGTAGGATTGTCTTTGTCATCATGAAATTCTTTAGTTGTTCTTTGCCAAGGAAGCATTTCACTTCTCCATCAAACTTGAAAAAGAGTTTTGCAGTATGTAGTAGTCTGGGCTGGAATTTGTTTTCATAGAGGACTTGAAGTAACCTGCTCCATGGTCTTCTTGACTTCATGATTTGTGAAGAGATGTTGGTCATAATTCTGATGGGTTTTCCTTTGCATGTGATCTGCTTCTTTTCTCTGTGGTCTTTCAGTATGTTATTCTTATGCCGGATTTCTGGGATCTTGACTATTATATGTCTCCGTGTGTTTTTAATTGGCTTGAAGTTATTTGGCATTCTTTATGCTTTGGTTACCTGAATGTCAGATTGTTTCCTTGTATTTAGGAAGTTTTCTGCTTTTACTTCTACCCATATTCTTTTTATATTATTTGTATTGACTCCATCTTTCTCATTGATGCTTATTAGTGCCACATTGTTCATCTTTGCATCGTCTTGCAAGTGATGCATTATTTTATCCTGCATCCTAGTTATTTTTAAGAGATGTTTTCTTACCTTTTCACTAGCTTCACCAGCATCTTCAAGATCTGAAATTGTCTTGACTTTCACTCAAATGGTTTCGCAGGCTTGTGATTGAGATTTTAAGTTCCTCTATAGTTCTTTGACTCTGATTCATGTGATCTATTTCTTTCCTGTATTGCTCATTGAAGGAATCAGTCATTTTTCTAACCTTTTTTTTAAAATCAATGTCTTCTTTAGAAACAGTTATTAATTCTTTTACTGCAGAGTTTTTTTTTTCAGATTGGGTTTCTCCATATTTTTCTGTATTTAATTCTTTAATTCAATGCTATGAATTCAGATATTTCTTTTTTGGTTTCAGAAATTAATTCTGCTGTTAGTTTCTCTATACCTTTCAGCTGTTTTTTCTTTACTTCTGATGGTATTAGTTCATACATTTCACCTGAGCTAGTGTCCTCTGCAGTTGTTCTGGATGGGCTCGAGGCCTGAGATTGCATTTTGATTCTTGTCTTTGTCATTTTGTATAGCACTGACCTCTGACCTTTGGTGTGGAGCTTTGGTGCAGTTATAACCTTAGCATCTACTGAAATTCAGGTGCAGATCTATTAAGTTTCAGTTTATGCAGTTATCCCTGGCTTGGGTCTAGCTGTTGTGTTGCACTCCTTCCTGCTGCCTCTCTTGGAAGGTGAACCTGTTTTGCCTCTCTGACACAACAGTGAACTTGTGGTGCCCCTCCATTGTGTCCCTTGCTCAGGGGGCACAGGGGAGCATAGAAACTCTCCCACACACTAGCTGAGCCTGGGCTTGGGATCGATCTAGGGATCCCAAGAGCATTGCAGAAGTTCTCACTCACCTGGAGGGCTTAGGGGCGAGGGCTCTGGAGGCCCTCATGTCAGGAGCTGTCCTGTGCTTGATCTGGGGAGATCCATCCAGGGCAGAGGAGCACAGGAGCTCACCCCCACTCTCACCGGGTCTGAGCTTGGGCTGGATGGGAGGAATGGATGGCGGTTCACTTGGACTTTTGTAATAGCCACCTGATATGCTCCCTCTGCCTTTATGCTTCTGTTTTTTGGATAGTATAGAAAGTTTTTTTTTTTTAAATTGCAGTTGACAGCATCACAAATCTGAATAAAACCTAGCAACAACTCCCCACTGCACCTAGCATATACTTCGTATCATTCAGATGGTTGCCTGGTGTCCACGGGGTGTGTGGTCTGTGATCTATCCTGCAGAGCCGCAGTCTGCTCTCTTTATCCCTTCAAGGATCCTCTGCTGTAGGTTTCCTTCAGTCTTCCCATGCTTTCTGCTCCACAGGCTGGAATCCCCATCTTTATTTCCAAATCTGACGCGTTAACCATGGTTCTCCTGAAGCTCTCAGGCCATCCATCGTGGCTGTGCAGTAATGCAGTCTTATGTTACTCTGTTGTTTAGCTTCACATAGTAGTCAGCATCTATGATTACAAATGCACAGACCTACTTGGCTGTCTCCTCACAGCTATAAGCTTTGCACTTTTTTATTTTTAAATCTTATATACTTTTGTTATGTAAAATTTATTTTAAAAAAATTCTTTCACTTTGAACTTACAATTATTACTTCACTTAATAACAAGTTATTCCATTGTATGGGTATGAAAATTGAGTGTTAGTGATGTTAAACACTGCTCTTGATCACAAAACTAGCAAATTATAGATCTAGGATTCATTCCCATGCTATTTCCATTTTAATTCTGTCTCTGAACCATTAGTAAACGCACCTAAGACCTTGCTTTGTCCTGCAGTTGCATTTCTCCTAACATCTGGCTCACTGCCTGTCTCATACGGATGGCCATAGATATTTTTAACAAATCAATATATTGATGGTCAGATACAGAAATAAGATCTGCTGTAATCATGCAAGTTTGGGGTAACTGATACTTATTTTTCTCTCAGAATAATTGCTTATGAAACAAGGTAATGTTTTAAAATGATGAGTTTATTAGTTTTATTAGTTGTCACATGGAGGGGGCAGCAATTGCAGAGGGTTCAGCCCTGGATGAAGGGCTTTGTGGAGGAAAACTGCTCAGTTCATGGTGGCTGAAGGCAGCCCTTAAAGAGGACGCAGTGCCAGAGGGGAGTGCCAGGGGCCATGGGTAGCTCCCACAGCCACACTCTGTGTCCCGCCCAGTGTGTTCCCAGTATGTTATCCCTCCAGTCAAGTTGGTATATCCTGATGGGTTTGGCAGGTCAACATGTTTCAGGACTAAAATTGGAGATCTTTTCATTACTTTTATTTTTACCCTTTTATTTATGGACAGCAGTAAGCTCAGAATACTTACAGGCTATTTTATATGTTAATAGTTTAGTTTATTTTTATATTAAATCAGTTAATTGTTCAGTTTCTTTTTATGTAAGATTAGTCAATAGGACTTATGTACTAAATTCTGCCTAGATTAGTTCAATTGTGTGTATGTGTGAGGATTGATCTCTCCCATCTGCATTCCAGGATGATAACTGAGCATTGTAATTGGCTCCTGGGAGCCAGAACAGTGTGTGAAGTTCTTTTGACTCAGCAGCACATCCCAGAGGGGTATAATCCCATATAACATCCCAGGTGTCATCCCTGGGAAGAGGATTCCTATGAGCAGAAGGCACTTTTACACTAAGGTACTGCGGCAGAATCTGGACTTCAGTGGGAATTCAGTGGAGGTGCCTGCGTGTGTTC